CACACACAATGAAAATTGGTTGGTTTGCTTATAACATTCTACATTTTTTGCTGATTTTGATAATTGATGGTTAATTATTCGTTTTTTTATATCATTTTAAAGCTTGCGTCCAATTAAAACCAATTTTTGGTCAAGTTGAGCAGAACCAAAAACGAGCCTCCGAGCTTCTTGCAACGTAAATATTTTATTATAATGAAGAACAAAGTTATTTTGTATACGCCTCAATTTTCTAACAGATCATAAATATTCATAAATATTTAAAGATACAAACCTGGAGATATTGATATAGTGGTCCTTCCAGAATTAGCATTCACCGGTAAATATTTGATCTAACGTTTACTTTCGTATTAAATAAACATACTAAAACTCACGTTATTTTTTTGAAGGTTATGTATTCAAGGATAAAGATCAAGTACGCCCCTTTTTGGAGGATGCAGAAACCGGGCCTACTGTTCGTTGGGCAAAAGAACAAGCAACACGATTGAATGCATTTGTAATGGTTGGATATCCTCAAATAGTAAAAGGTAATTAATTTTTAATCATAATTTATCAAACCAACAATAAGTTAATTCATCAATTAATAACAGACGGAGCTGAACGATATTACAACAGCATCTGCTTTGTAAATCCCCAAGGTGAACTGGTCACCACCTATCAAAAACATTTTCTTTACTCTGTCGATGAAAACTGGGCTGAGGAAGGACCGGAATTCCAGTCCGTTTGGGTGGACGGATTGGGAAAGGTATATAATTCAATCTATTAGTCGCTTCTTTATATTTTAAATTAATATAATTTATCTCTGTTTTAATGATAGGTCGGATTTGGCATATGCATGGACCTTAATCCCTATAAATTCATGTCGCCCTGGGAAAATTATGAATTCGCAAGCTTTCATCAAGGAAAAAAGACACAAATAATATTATGTTCGATGGCGTGGCTTGATAGTAACGTTTTTGACGACGATTACTCGAATGTTCCCGATTATTGGTGTTCACGGCTTTTACCATTATACGATCCTATTTGGTCCCCTTCACGTAGAACAAGGAGATACTCGTATCATGAATTTGGTCATAATAATTTGGTCGAAGAGGAAGAGGGCTGGAGAACTTGCAATGGCGATGTTCTATTTGTTGTTTGTAATCGTACTGGAGCTGAAAATGGTATGTATACATACGATATAAGAAATCATGTCATCGGTGATGTTTTTAGTACCAATAATAATAATTATTATATTGACATTAACAGGATCTACCTTTTGTGGAAGTAGCGGTGTATTCCTATTATCGCCAAACGAAAATAAAGCTAAACTATTGAAAGGGCTTAAAAAGCGGGAAGAAAATGTTTTGCTGGTTGATGTTTCAAAGTTTCTGGATGGTAATTCGTGATACTAGCACCGCGAAGCTTATTTATTTTTATATACAATTAGAAAATATTTACTTTTTTTTACGTGATTTATATAATCTTGTATTTAATTTTTTCGTAATAATAAATTTATTATACATTTAATCGTATATATCATGTGAAGGCAAAATAATTAGCTGGATTCATTGGGAAAATTTTAATTGGTAACCGAAAGGATAAACAGGAGATTATCAAGGTGCTGCTCTAGTGAATCGTTTATTAAGATGGAAATACATATCATACGCCCAATCAAAAACATCCTGTTCAATAGGATAACTCTCGAATGTTAATTTGTACAAGATTCGATCCAAAAGAGTACCCGTTATTGGTTCATACCATTCTCTTATTGCATCAAAGTTACGATTATTATCTTCATATAAAGCCCCTATCAACGCTTCAACATAATCAGCCATATCCTTTGTGGATAAGTCAAGTGGACCTCCAACTTCTTTGATCACAAGTGTCCGAATGTCCAAAATATGTCCAATCACTGCTAATGTTTTATTAGTCACAAAGAAGTTGATTGCAGCTTCAATATGATTCATTATTCTTTTCTTATTTTGACGTAAGGTAGGATGCTTTTCAACTCGGTCAAATGCCATTTGATTGGCTAGATGTTGGAGTACTCGGTCTCCGAGATATTCTAAACGTTCATAGTTACAACCAACAGTCTTATTCATGTTAGAATGGGTTAATGCAACTTTTCTGAGAATGGGATTTTTGAATATTGGCAAGGTTGGATATCGATCTATGTGGATACAAATGAAATTTAATACGATTTCTTATTTGATCAACTAGAAAATGAATCAACAAATTTACTTATTTTCGTTCCTGGTAGAGGTTCAATATTTCGAACATTAAGTGGTGATATTGGTTTTTTTGTTCCTGGTAGAGGTTCAATATTTCGAACATTAAGTGGTGATATTGGTTTTTTCGTTCCTGGTAGAGGTTCAATATTTCGAACATTAAGTGGTGATATTGGCTGGGCATAACTATAGTTTCGACCATTAAGTGATGATATTGGCTGGGCATGACTATAGTTTCGAACATTAAGTGGTGATATTGGCTGGGCATAACTGTAGGTAATATTAAAAGAAGTGGTTGAGAGTAATGGCAAAGAGTATGGGAGAGCTGCTGGGTAATAACAATATTGTGCAGTTGCTTCATTATTTTCATTACGATCCTCTTCATCGTCAGAAATAACAATTATTTCAACGCCAGGATCCATTCCATCAGGTTCTCGAGGTTCATCTTCATCATCAGAAATTTCAATAATTTCGATTTCATTATCATTCTCAGGAGATCCACTCGTATTCTTCAAATCTTCATACACATGCTGAAAATTTGACAAGCTTTGTAACACATTACTACTTAATGCCAAATCCTTACCATTCATAATTTGAGAAATGTACATGTTAAAGTCTTCAAGAAACGCTCTCGTCTTGGGATTAGGTGAAATCCGTTGTTCTTGTTGTGAATTATGAGAACAGGAGGACAACGACTCAGATTTTTGTTCCTCTTTTGATGTTGTTACCTCAGCAACGGCACTATTATCAACTTTAGTAAGGCCTGCAAACTTTCCGCCATTTTGATTTACTCGCAATTCCGTGACTGCATGGTCTACTGCTGGACAATAAAGTTGTCCATTATATCTGTAGTGTATTGGTGCTTCTGTTGTTGCCATCGTTATTCTAATTCTGGTTGTCTCAAATAGTAGTATTGATGCTGCTTTCAAATTCTCTTTCGTTGCCCAGCGCAATAATAATAAAAAATACACCAATAACTATTGGACAGAATAATTTTATTTTCGAATGTTCATCAATAAGCATAAAGTGGTTAAAATACTTCAGAGTAATAATTGTCGCGTGTTTAGTTTTCACGTCGGTAGTTATCGAAAACATACTCGTGCCTTGTTGCATGCCTCTCGAGGCTTCCGTCATGCAAAAAACCAGGAGGAAGAGTCAACAAAAAAGGATAAAACAACGCACTCCTTTACAAGTAAGAATATAAAACCCATTTATGCGAATGTCAAGTTGTGTTT